TTGATTTGATTACTTCACACTGCTTACAGATTATTGTTAGAGCATTGGCCTTTAACTTTCTCAGTACATTAGAATCATCTGGAGATTTTTGAAGGAAACACTAAAGATCCAGCCCCACCCCAAACTAGCTTACTATGTCTTTGGGGGTGGAACCCAAGCATCTGGTGTTTTGTTAGTTTTTAAGTTTTCCTGGGTAATTCAGATGCACTATAGGTATTGAGAACTACTGGTCTAGAGCAAAGGACTTCACAAACCTTTCAATAAAGCTTTCCTGAAGTATTTAGTTCTAATTACTCTCAAAGTTAAAAATAAAATAGTGGGAAGAACCTATGGGATCATGTTAACCTATTTACTCTTCTGTGGGTAATATATTTAATTTTGTAGATAATAGAGGCTTGTTGCTTTGTTTAAGTGTGTATTTCTCTCTGTGTGTGTGCTCACTCAGTCACGTCCAACTCTTTGTGACCCTATGGACCATAACCCACCAGGTTCCTCTATCCATGGGATTTTCTAGGCAAGATTACTGGAGTGGATTGCCATTTCCTCCTCCATGGGATCTTCCCAACCTAGGGATCGAACCCATGTCTCCTTCATTGTAGGAGGATTCTTTACCATTGAGCCAATGGGGAAGCCCATATTTCTCTGATCTACCAGTTGTTGTTCTGGTTCCTCTTGTCATTTTCTACCATTATATTTTCCTGTAGTCAAATCCTAACTTTTTAATATTTTTCACATTTGATTGGAGATACTTAGAGTTGTTTGTTTTTCATCAAGTTGAAGTTTATCAGTGTTTTCCTTCACTGTCACTCTGCATATAAATTTAAATTTCCACAGGAAACTGAATACATTAATTTCTTTTGTTGCCTTTTTTGGGAGTCGGGAGAATTTGATGGGCATAAGTATTGCTAATTTTTCTTTCACTTGATTAAAAAAAAAGAGGCTTTCTCAGCTCTGTGGTCATGTGCTAAATAGTATTATGGATAGTCATGCCTAAAGAATTAGCTGAGGATTCAGATGCCAGTGAACTCAAAAAAGTCAGTGGTTAAAGGCACTAACAACCATTTGTACTGTACTCTATGTTTTCTAATGTGTTTTCACACGCGTTAACCATTCTTTCAGTTAATATTTAAAAAAAAAATCTATTGCATGTCATGTACTAGGATATCAAAGATGAAATATGAGCCTTGTCCTCCAGTAGTTAAAGTCTAGAGGGATAGACAGATAAATAGGCCATTGCAATCAGTGTATTAAAAGTTCTGAAAGAAGAAATACAGGGTGCTATCGGAATATATAAAGTATTTAATTAATTATAAGATGATGGGATTGAAGAATTCTGGTAGTGGGTTAGGGATGTTTTTCTCAGGAATTATCAGGAAATGGATCCTCAAGGATCTGTCTAGACTGATTGGGCTAGGAGTAGGGGAGGATGTTCCAAGGAGAAGCAGCATCATTATGATCTTTGAACTGCACAGCTGCGTTCCCCTTTTTATTAGAAGGAATCTAAGGATTAGAGGAATTCATATCCTTGAGGTCACAAAACTTGTAATAATGGGGTAGTTAATACCAGAGTTTCTTGGCTCAAATTCTGTGTCTTTCTATAAACACATTAAATACTGTGCTATGATGTATTATGAGAATAGGTAGTTGACTGTAATTCTAACAATATCCTCCTTGAAAGACCTCATTAGTTATCTGCTAATTAGAACTTATTTTAATTTTTTTTAAAGTCTCAAAACTTGTAAACTTCATTCCATTTTCATGGAAGGTAAACAGACCTCTGTGCCTCCATCATAAAAAAAAAAAAATTCAATTTCTAAGCTTGCATGTAATAAAATATCCTTTGGAGCCAAAAAGATTATTTACATTATAAACAGGTAGGCAGTTAATTAAATAAATATTTCATGTCCAATCAAGCTATGAGATCTTGGGGTTAATTTCTAGATTTTCCTAAGTAAGGACATTTCAGTTCTGCTTAAATATTTTCAGACAGTTTCTCCCAACCCCCACACTTTTCCTGTCAGTTTTATATTGCTTCCTAAAGCAGAATTTTTTATCTGTTGGTGTTTTGCTGTAGTCCTCGAATTCTTGCAGAATTTCATAACATTTGGAAAAACATTCTGGTCCCGTAGTCCACAGGACCATGGATGGTTGTGAATGATACTCTATTCTAACAGAAATAGAGCTACTGTATATGAAAGACTTTCTATATAACAGATCATCTTTAAGCAGTTTACATAATGATTTCACTTAATTTTCATAGTGATCTAGTTGGTTATGTGTACTATTATCTTAAGTCCATTTTACAGGTAAGAAAATTGAGGAACAGAAAGATGGCCTGTCAAGTAAGTGACCTACCCAGAATGTAAAAACTTCACCTTTTGGTTTTTAGCCATCCACCATAGTATCTTTTGTTTTCAGTATGTGACTTATATGACTTTATAGTCATAGTAAGATGCTGAAATTATAGAAAGAAGTCTTAATGCATGCTTTTTTTTAAGCACCTTCCTTTGCTAGGATGAAGTCCACATTCTTTGCAGGTCTTAGTCTGGCCTTCAGTATATATAGCTTCATTCTAATTCTTTTACATATTGTGTGTTCCAGCTGGTCTGGACTACCTATCCATTCTTGAAAATCATTGCAGCCAAAACTGAGTATCATCATTATAGAATGAATTTCTGGGATACAAGATTTAGTACCACATTGTCAGCTGCTAGATTATTCCAGTAATCACTATACAGTATACTGGTTTGCAGCCCTCAATAGCTGATTATTTTCAGTTGATTTTGGCAGGGGAACGCTTTTTTTTCTTCAGTTTTTCTCATTGTCTATAAAATGTTTTCCTTCATACTCTATATTCTTCACCTCTGGATGAAAAGTGATTTTTAATGGGTGTTAGACTTTTCCTGATGCATAAAATTTTGAGCTGACAAAGTTGGCGTTCTGCTTTTAATGTATTATCTAATACTAATATATAAAAACTTCAAAAAGATAAGAATTATTGTCCAACTTTGCATGCATTAATTATAAACACTTGCTAGTCTTGAAAGGGCATAATACTTTTCCTACACTTATCTAAAGTACTATGTCAATGTATTTCTCTATTCATTTTGCTTTTGTAAATTTTAAGTTATTTTTGTTCATAACATTAACAGCTTTCACAGACATTAATTGTTGCAATATTTATTCTTGTATCTAGATCTAGAGAATGCTGATCTTTATTTGAAATTGGATATTCATATCTTAATCCTTATGGACCCGCCTTATACAGTTAATGGTTTAGTTAATTGTATAATTAATTAATAATTAATGGGCTATCCTGATAGCTCAGTTGGTAAAGAATCCGCCTCAATGCAGGAGACCCCAGTTCGATTCCTGGGTCGGGAACATCCTCTGGAGAAGGGATAGGCTACCCACTCCAATATTCTTAGGCTTCCCTTGTGGCTCAGCTGGTAAAAAATCTGCCTGCAATGCAGGAGACCTGGGTTTGATCCCTGGGTTGAGAAGATCCCCTGTAGAAGAGAAAGGCTACCCACTCCAGTATTCTGGGCTAGAGAATTCCATGGACAGTCCATGGGGTTGCAAAGAGTCGGACACGAATGAGTGATTTTTCACTTGCACTTCACTATACAATTAATGTTGTGTTGATTTGATTGATAGTAATTGATACAATTAGGCATGATCTTTGGTCATGCACAATTTCTTAAGTAGCAGAAATGATGTTAAGGTAAGCATTCTGCAGTTATAAGCCTAATAACTGATTTTGGTTGAATATTGAGGCTAATGCCTCACTTTGCACATCTTTAAAATGCTACTGTTATAGAACCAAGACAATTATACTTTTATTCATATCTTCCTTAATCCTACCCCATCCACCTATTGCCTACAGATAAAGATTTGTTCCTTTTCTATACTTCTTTCCCTAAGCAGATTATTTATAGTTCCATTCTTTCATCTCTGGCCTTCTTTCTGTTACTTCTCATTTTAATACAGCAACTTTTATGGAATGCTTAAAGTCTGAGTGCTTTCCATGGTATGGTTTTCAACTGAGTGAAATCTTTAAATCCCAACTCAGATGTCATTGCCTAAGAATTCTTCTCAACTGCTTGAACTGGGCCTTCTTACAGCTGTGTTCGTGTATCATTTTCTATTTCCTTAGTTTATAGCACTCATAACATTGTATCACAAGGAATGGTTTGAATCTATATCCTTTGCCAAATTGTGAGCTCCTTACATCTAAAAACCACATCTTATTCATTTCTGTGTCTCTGGAGAACTTTAGACAGTGCCTCAAGTAAGTAAGTACTTACTTATGTAGTACAAAGTAGTTAACATCATATGTGCATTTTAATTTATAGGAATTTTGCACTGAATGCCTAACAGAAAAGAGAAATGATTGAAATAATGTGGCAGTTTCACCTGCCATTCTACCCAGTAAGTAAATAGCTAGGTTAGGGCACAAAGTAAAAGGTATAAATCTTTTGTTCCTTCAGTCAGTTTCTTTTCCCACATGCCTCTCAAAGTAAACATCTCACCCAACTTGAATGTGGTGTGGTGGTTTCTAAGATAGTGACTTCCAACTAGGACTGACCTTCTCATACTGTACACTAACTTTAGAACCTAACTCATTATAAATAAGATAGGAATGCCACTGTATAGTTTAATTGAATTAATATTCTGTCCTTAATCTGAATTCCTACAGTAATTTGTCTGTGTGACTCAAATGATATTTTTACTGCTTAGTTCTTAGCTCTTTGTTCACGTCTAATCTCACTTGTTGGAAAGCAAGGATCATATCTTTATTCCTCGTTGTGTTTGGCATATTGGTTTTCATACAGCATTCATTTATAGAATAAATAGACATTTTAATGTGTTTTAATTGTGCTAAGGTCTTAAGGAATAACCCAGAAGCCAAGTCCTTTAACTCACCCATCCAGTGGTCTTTACTTGATGTCATTTGCTGAATTTTCCCTCCCAATTATCATGTCTTTTTCTCCCCATAGCTCTTCCGACGTGTTGCAGCAGCTCTACCTGGAATGGAAAGCACACAGGACAGAAGCAGAGAAGACAGTATCCTTTTTGTTTCACAAGAAAATTTTGTTGTTAACATAGGCCTTTAAAGTCCAACTTGGTTGACTTAGGAATATTATGCCATTGCCTTTTAGAGCTAAGAATTGATGGTTTAGGAGCAAAAAAGCTCTGAGTTTTTCTATAGCAAATGCAATCTGGTTATCCAAGTGCACTCTTTAAAGCCTGCTGCTCACTACAGTTAATCAGTGACAGGGTTTGTGTTTGTTTGCTTGCTTGATTTGTTTGTTTTGCCTGCTTGGTTTTTAATGAGCAGGAAACTCTTAGCATCCCACCCTGCTGCTGCTTAATTTTGACTCCTCTTCACTCTGGGCTTTTTCACCACAGTATATATCTTACTTTCTTCCTCTGTGTTTTCTAACATTTGAGCTTTCTACTTGGAATAGGCAGGAGATAACTCAGTCTGGAGCTTTATCATGGCCTCTGCTTTCAGAAATGGGGACAGAACAAAGCACATGTAAATTATTTATTTAAAAGAGTTTTTATATTTTCCTTATTTGTCACATGTTTATCTTCTAGTGTTTTTCTATATGCAGACATTTTTTTTTATTAAAAGCCATGGAATTCATAGCACTTTATATTCAGCTCTTCCCACTTCTAAATGTTATGTGTTTTCTAAGCCTTTATTAATAATATGATGTATTCTATCAAGTTGAAGCCCAATTGTTTATTAAATTCTGTCCCTATTGTTGGAACTCTCTTGTAGGCTGTTTTCAGATTTTTGTTACAGATAATTCCTTAAGGAACGTCGTCTTTGTGTGGTTTCTTATTCCTGTAGAATAATTACCTTAGTATAGATTCCAATGAATAGGAATTGATGTTGTTGGAACCTTGCTGCATATAGGAGATACAAGCACATTTATTTCATATGAGTAGCTCATGTGGTAGACTAGCTATATAGGAAATAATGGATGAGTAGGCTCTGAAGCCAAATAGGAATGGGAGAATCGTTGGTGTCCAGTAGAATTGGAATTGTACTTCTCCATTTATGGTTCCTTAACTTTTGTTTCAGTGATTGACATAAAACTGGAAAAGCCTCAGGAGCAGCCAGTCAGTGAAGGAGGCTGTTCCTGCTAATCCCCCGTGGCATCTTCAGCTTTCCTCCAGAAGCTCACTGCTTTGGCCCCCTTACTCTTTCATTGACTGCAGTGTGAATATTGGCTTGAACCTTTTCCCTTCAGTAATAACGTATTGCAATTCATCATTGCTGCCTGTATCATGGAGATGATCTATTATTAGCTTCACAAGCACAAAAAGTCAGTGTCTTCATTATTTATATTTTACAAAAAGCCAAATGATTCCAGCATATTCCAGTGATAACTTTAAAAATTAGATACATTTTCTTAACATTGTTTTTCATTTTTAATGTTACGAGAATGTATTTCAAAATGATGGAGCTCTCAACGGTATGTGGCTTGGTTACAGCACAGCTGTTCATAGGAGCACTTGCCTTTGCCGACTTACTTGATCTCTCCCTGCAGTACCCACTTCTCCTTTCCCCCATCTCCTACTCCTGCCACCCTCCCCCAAAACTAACAAGAGGAGGCAAAGCCAGACCAAGTCAGACCAAGCCCACTGGAATTACCTTGTATTTTAGTGATACCACTTGCTCTAGGCCTTGAGCCAAGATATCCAAAACTATTATTGAGCACTGATATAAATTACTTAGACCTTAATTGAGGTAAAAACTCAGCTATCATGGAAGGCAGTGCTGGAATAAGGAAAGGGTTTCTGATGTGTCTTCAGAATGAGTCCTAATGACCATACTAAGTACTTACAAGTAAATAAACATAAAATATATTTCTGACCAAAACAAATGATCCTTTCACATGTCAGACTCTGGGAGAGACAAGTAAAAGTGCTTCAGAACAAGTTTTAAATATTTAATTCTTCTAAGAGCTAATTCTCCCAAGATTTTAAAATGATCAAAATAGAGTTCTGGTTGAAAAAGAAGACTTTTTTAAGCAATAGATTTCTCTTGAGTTTCTTTATTTCTTCCTTTGTTTCTTTTTTAAAAAATGCTATGCAGGCAAGTCACTGGAGAAATCAAATTCCTTTAAGAAGAACCAGTGCAAGAATTTAAATTTGGCATCTTGATCAAGTGGAAACAATAATACCTAACACTTACCAACTATAGAATCTTCAGCAGAATAGCAAATACTTTGCCCAGGTCATTTGAGATCAAATTGAAGATGGAAAATTTTCTTATAAGCCTTTCGAGGCAGATCTGAACAAGCATACATAGAAGAGGGAAAAGAGAGAATGAAAATAAAACTTAACATTATGCAGATTTATGCCTTATTTTTCAGCATTTTTTTTTTTATGTTGGTTCTCTCAACTTGGTTTTGCTTTTTATTAGATCTGTATAGTTTGGTTAATTAGTGATTCAGTTTTATATTTAAGCTACAATTAATCTTTTTTCTTTGGTGATATTTATTTCTTTGCCTTTTTTAACTACTTTCAATTTTTAGATGTTTTATTCAGTCTCTAGAGCTTCATCACAATGGCAATATGTATTTCCCTTAAAACACTGCAAACAAATATACTAGGAGTGCACCATTTTAATCTTTACTAGTTATTGTGAGATTGCTGTGTAAGTTAATAAACACATTTGTAAATACATTGTTTGCAGGAAGTAAATTTCTGAGTTACAGCTCAGGAAAAGCCTGCTGAATTTATGTTGTAAGCATTACTTAACACAGTATAAGGATGAAAAGACAGCAAAAATATCTTCATACTTCCTTATCCCCTCATTGCAACAAAGCCCTTAACTGGGAGAACCTTATTCCCTTCTCTTTCCTCTTCCTCCTCCACTTCCCACTTTCTGTATCACCTTATAATATTCAGAGAGCACTTGGATTATGGGTCTGAATAGAGAAATGCTTTCAGATAATCATTAGCCCACATACCCCAGTAACTTGTACTCAAAGATGGGATGGAGTTGTAAAGTGCTTTTATAATACAATATTATTGTTAAAGGCAAGGGTTGACTCTTTTGTTTTATTTTGACATGGCATGTCCTGAAATAAATATCAATCCAATATGGCAGATGGGTCGGTCATATTCTTTATTTGGAAGAAGTTGTGATTTCTGATATGGGATGATTGTCTTCCTACACTGTAGCATTTGATGTATCTTTAAGGCAGTAACCGGTTAATGCTGCATTTAATATTGGTCTTTTTATTTGGCTTGGGGTTCTTCAACAGAAGCAGTGAAGTGTGTTCATAGTGCAGATTTTCTGTTTAATAAAGTTTTGCTGCCCAAAAAAATGTATAAATAAACACAAAAGAAAACAATTATTGACTTGGTTTCCCATTCCTGCCAAAGTAATGAATTACCATGTGCTACTTACTTCCTCCCAAGGACTATAAAGGGACAAAACAGAAACCTCAGGGGAATCAGAAGACTCTTCAACTGTTAAGGGTGAGGGAAAGTGGCTGCAACTTGAAAGATAGGGTCACTGGTGCAGGCAATAATAAGATGTCTTAAGGAAAGTTCTGCTTATGCCACTTCACTCTTAACTCCACCTTTGCTTTGAGACAGGAGTGACAAACTACCCTTCCACCAAATCCAGCCTGCAACCTGTTTTTAAATTAAATTTTGTTAGACCTCAGCCATACTCACAAAGATTGGGTGGAGTAGTTGTAATGGACTTTATGGCCCCAAAAGCCAAAAATATTTATTATCTTTTACAGAAAAAAGGGCTGATCCCTGCTTTAGGGCAAACCACAACTAGCCCCATTACTATAGAAATGGAGGCCACAACCTAGATTACAGATGCAGATATCCACAGGGGTGAAGTTAGGGCAGAATAGAATCTGAGAGGGAGTTCCTGGTGATGTAGTGGTTAAGTTTCTGGGCTTTCCCTGTCATGGCCCAGGTTAATCACTGATCAGGAAACAGCATCCCGCAAACATTTGCGGCATGGCAAAAAAGAGAAAAGTTCCTTGAGTAGTGAGAATGAAACTAGGTGGGAAATAATTTATCACCTTAGGCCTTTCACTCACTCAATATCCTTTGAAAACATCAGTTAGTGGTCTGTAATCTAGGGAGACTGCCTCCTGCAAGAGTTGCTTCTTCCTAGACTGGATTTAAAGGTTTGGTTTGGTTTGGTGGGATGAAACTGAATGGAAACAGTTACATGTGGTCTTGTGGCTCCTAGAAAGCTTTGCCGAGGTTTGTCCCTTCCTTACCTTAATACTTATTTGACATTCTGGTCTTTGGCTCTTGGCCAGTATACCTTCCCAGAGTTATAGTCCAAACCCTAAGAGAATTTGGATTCATATAGAGTAGTTGGATATCTGAAAACTGCCTCAAAAGAAAAAGTGAATACTATTTGAAGCAGAAATACTTGAAAAGACAACCAATAATTTAAATATGGCATGATAAATATTAAAGAAATAAGATAGTGGAGCAAGAGTGAAAAATAACCAAAAATACAACTATTAAATGAAAAATGTAATAGCTGAAATAAATACAGGTAAGTAGTAGATTGGATTGCATTGATTGAATTAGCAAATTAAATTGAGGAACTCTTTCATTAGACAGCAAAGAAATAGAAAAGTAAAGATTAGGAATAGAATAATATACATAGCAACATTTAGAAATTCCAGGAAGATAAAAACCAAGAATTATAAAGTACTGAAAACAAAGAATTTTGAAGATAATACTTGTGTAGGCATCTGTGTATCTTCTGAAAGCAGTTTCTGAAATGGTATATCTGCCTCTAATATTCATATTCATATATTTCATTATCCTTTCCCCTAGAATATAGTCTGCACCTGGTGACTTGCATCTAAGGAATAGAATACAGCAAGGATTGCATCATCACTTTGAAGGTTAGATTATGAAAGATTGTGCCATTTTTCTAGTCCATACAGTTTGACTCTTCATTTGCTTCTATGCAACAATTTGAGCTGCCTGTGGAGAGGCCCAGCAATGAGTTGAGGGCAGCCTTCAGTCAATGAGGAACTGAGTTCTTAATTAGGCAGCCTGAAACTGAACAAAAAGTAAACTACAGGTTGAGAAAATATTTATAGATTGCATGCTTGATAGAGGACCAGTATTCAAAATACATGAAGAACTCTCATAAGTTGATAGGGGAAAAAACCATGAAAAATGTTTGACATCATTAGTCATTTGAGAAATGCAAATTAAAACCACAGTGAAATACATACATATCAGAAAGGCTAAAATTAAAAAGATTGGTCATACCAGGTGTAGGTGAAGATGAGCAACTGGAATTCTCATACTCAGCTATCTGAGATTTTGGGAAAAAAATTTATATAAAGTGGCCATTCCACACCTAAGTACTTACCCACAAGAAATGAAAGCTTGTTTCTGTGCAAAGACTTGAACACAGATGTTCATAGCAGTTTTGCTTGTATTAGGCAAGAACTAGAAATAACCCAAATGTCCATCATAAAGTGGCTATGTGAACAAATCATGACACATACTATGGAATCATATACAATAAAGCAGAAGGAACTGTTGATACCTGCAACAAAGATGAATCTCTGAAAATTATCCTTAGAAAAAATTATTCAAAAAGTCTGTATTCATTTATATAAAATTCTAGTAAATGCAAACTATTCTAAACAATCCATTTCTCCCTTTCCTCATTCCCTAGTAACCTCTGTTCTGCTCTCTGTGTATTTCCTTATTCTGGGTACCATATATAAGTGGAATCACAGCATTTGTCCTTTTGTGTCTGGCTTCCTTCACTTAGCATGATGTTTTCAGTGTTCGTTCATGTTGTAATGTGTATCAGGTTTGCTTCCTTTTTGTGGCTGACTAATATCCCATTGTATGTACATACAATATTTTGTTTACACATTCATCCACTACTGATGGACACTTGTGTTGTTTCTATCTTTTGGCTATTTTAAATAATGCTGCTGTGAATGTTAGTGTACCAGTCTCTGAGTCTCTATTTTCACTTCTTTTTAGTATATAACCTAGGAATGGAATTGCTGGATCATGTGATAATTCTATATTTAACTTTTTGAAGAAATGCTAAACTACTTTTCACAACATCAGCACAATTTTTTATTCTCAAGCAGTGCATGAGGGTTCCAATTTCTCCACATCCTCAACGCTTTATGTTCTGATTTTTTAAATGATAGCCATCCTAATAGGCATGTATTGGTATCTGTCTCATTGTGGTTTTGATTTACCTTTCTTTAATGACTAACAGTGTTGAACATCTTGCTTACTTGTCATTTGTATACATTCTAACTTCCTTGCAGGCTGTTTTACTGAGAGATTTTGGAGGTATGTCTATTGAAGTCCTTTAACCATTTTCAAATTGGGTGGTTTATTAATATTTTTGTTGCTATTGAGTTAGGAATTCTTCATATAGTCTAGATATTAATTTGATATATGGATTTACAAGTATTTCCTCCCATTCTATGGATTTTCTTTTCATTCTCAAATACTGCCCTCTGATGCACAAGTTTTAAATTTTAATGAAGTCCAATTATCTTTTTCCTTTTTTGCTTATGTTTTTGGTGTCATATCAGAAAAATCCTTGCCAAATCCAATATCGTGAAGATTATTTCCTATGTTTTGTTCTAACAGTTTTATAGTTTAGCTCTTAAAGCTTAGATCATTGATCAGTTTGAGTTACTCTTGTAAATGGCATAACATAAGGGTCCAGCTTCATTCTTTTTTGCATGTAAATAGTTTTCATAGCAACATTTGTTGAAGACTGTCCTCTTCTCATTGAATGGTCTTCACACTCTTGTTGAAAAGTGACCATATTATGTGAGGGTTTATTTCTGTTTTACCTGTTACATGTCTGTCCTTATGCATTACCACACTGTTTTCATTTCTGTAGCTTTGTAGTATACTTGGAAGTCTGGAAGTATGAGTCTTGCTTCTTTGTTCTCATCACTTTGGGTAATTTGTCATCTTAAGTCTTCCAGTCCATGAACACAGGATGTCTTTTCTATATTAGTCTATTCAGGCTGCTATAACAAAATACCACATACTGGGCAGTTTATAAACAACAGAAAATTTACTGCTTACGGTTCTGGAGACTGAGAAGTCCAAAATTAAAGCACCAGTGTGATCACCTGGCAAGGTGCTAGTTCATTGCCAGCACCTTTTTGCAATGAATTCACAGGATGAAAGGTGTGAGGGATCTCTCTGGAATCCCTTTTATAAGTAGTCCTGTTCCTGAAGGATCCACCTTCATGACTTAAGCATGTACCAAAGCCCTACTTACTACTATCATCATCTTTTGGAGGATTTAACATATAAAATTTTGGAGAGACACAAACTTTCAGACCATAGCATTCTGCCCCTGGCCACCCAAAGTTCATATCCTTCTCACATGAAAAATACATTCATTCCATCCCAGTAACCCCAAAATCTGTTCAAATATTGACTCTAAAGCCTAAGTCTGTGAGATTGTTAGTCACTCAGTCGTGTTCGACTCTTTGCGACCCCATGGACTGTAGCCCGCCAGGCTCCTCTGTCCATGGAATTCTCCAGGCAAGAATACTGGAGTGGGTATGCACTCCCTTCTTCAGGGGATCTTCCTGATCCAGGAATTGAACCCTGGTCTCCTGTATTACAGGCAGATTCTTTACCATCTAATCCACCAGTCTAATCCAAATTAGAAATGGGTGTTAACCTAAAACGCAGACTGCAAGTTACTTCCCCGGGGGGTGGGGGGAAGGCTTTATTCAAAATTAGCAGAGAATTGCAGTTTGGGATCTGCAACTGTGGCAAGTCCCTGCAAGGCACGGGAAGGAGAATGCTTTTTAGTGGGGAAAAGAAGTTAGGAGGACTATGAGAAAGTTCATGGCTTTTCATTGGCCGATTCCTGGCCAGGGTAAAGACTGTCATTGCAGGGTCTGAAAGCTCCCTCTTCTGGTCTCCTGACTCTGATGCTTCTGTTTATTAATTTTTTTACATGGGTGAGATTCAGTGTTGATTCAACTTATGAACCCATTAAGTCAAACAAGTTATGTGCTTCCAAAATACAATGGTGGGACAGGCATAGGATAGACATTCCTACTTCAAAAAGGAGAAATAAAGGAATTCCCTTACGGTTCAGTGGTTAGGACTTCACACATTCACTGCTGAGGGCCCCAGTCAATTCCTGGTCAGGAAACTAAGATCCCACAAGCCACGTTGCATGGCCAAACAAAAGTAGAAAGCGGTAGCAAGTCCTAAGCAAGTCCAAAACCTTCAGGTACACTGGAGCAGGGACCTGCACTTTGGACTAACTGGAATGGCCTCACCCTAGCTCTCATGGGTTGGAATCCTGTGCATGTGGCTCTGGAAG